AACTGCAGTGTGGGTGCTAGCAAGGATCAGGTATCTAGACCAACTGGGCACTGACAGTCCTCACTGCAAAGAACTGAACCAGTCCTTATCAGAGTTGATACCGACATCTCATATTGGAGTAAAGATCGGCTTATTTTAAGCAGGGATTTATGTTCTTATACAATATTATTGACCAGAGAGTATCACTTGTAAGGAAAAGGAATAATATTTTACTCTACTGAATGTGTTGGTCCCATGTAAATGTCCTGAAACCAGCTTCAGAGGAAATATAGAAAGTCATTTTTGTTGCCATGAGTGCACATGTGGACACTGGGGAAAAAGAAGTTAAAATTAACATGTTTGCACAGTTTTCTTTTTCTTTAACAAAGAAAAGTGCAAGGAGGAAAAGGACATCTTCAGTGTGTTTCTAGTACGAGTTTGCACCTTTGTAAAATGTAAACTGACCCCACACTTCAGTCTAGTTTTATTTAAGGAAGAATCCATCTTCAACATTCAGCATAAAAAAATACACTGACATAGATATTCAGTATCCACTCAATGTACTAAAATTTACTTCTCTTTATTTAACCAGGTAAAAAAACCCCATTGAGATCACGATCTCTTTTACAAGGGTGACCTGGCCAAGAGGTCAACAACACGTCGTCAATACATAAGTTTCAATACAAATCAAAAACATTAAACATTTAAACAATCAAAACCATAAATACAATAATCAACAATATTACAACATGCCCTGCGTATTGTGTGGTCTAAAATCAGAATAGTATGGTCATTAAGATGTGATGTGTGTGAGCAGGGGGCAGGCAAAAGGGATTATGCACGTTCACGTTACAATCCATCAGCAGGACGAGTGTGAAGTCTGCCCGTGTGTGCGCTGATGTGAGCAGAGTTTGCTGTATAGTCAAAACCTGACTGGGTCTGAGGGTCTGGTTTTTTTAATGGAGACCATGCCCATAATTACTCCCCCATGTGGCAGTGAATCAATCCTCTTTCATGTGTGATGTGTTTATTTAGCTTAGCAGTGAGAATTTGTTTTTGGACGGGGATTTGGTAACACATTGGGATATGGCTGCAGGGTATTGGAAAGGGATTGGGCAGAATCAAGGGTGTCAGGGATTGGCACATGACCTCCTAAAGCAGAACTGTGGTGGATAAATGTGGTTATTTCAGTTTTGCTCAAAATCAGCTTATCGATAAATGTGTATGCATAGAGCGGCTTACTGGCCCGCATTCCTTTGATTTGAATAACTGATTAGTGGACAGTAAATTCACCTTGGGTGTTTATGGAATAATTTGCAAAGAAAATTCTGGTAAATGTAATACAGTTTACAAGTTATTTAACTCATTAAGTAGTCATATGGGCTTTTACTGCTGTCATTAAAAAGACTAACATGAACAACAGTATATAATGTATAGCTGTGATGCAGCGTGAAGATTGTCCCATAGCTGAGATAAGAGGAAAACATAAAAGCCAAACATTTCATTTTCTTTAAATTAAATACAGTAAGACTATAGTAGGCTACCTCTGTGCTGTTCTCTGACCTGTCCCTTCAGCACTAGCTCTCCCACTGGCTGCTGTCCTCCTCCTACATCTCTCTCTTCAGCTCTCCCTTCCTGACCCTCTCTTGCTGCTTCAGCAGTGCCAGTGAATATTCAAAATGAATCAACTGGATCACTAATCACACTGGTCGGACTGATCAGCTTTCCCACGCGTTTATCGATATTTATGAACTGGTATTAACTGTATCCACTTGCAGAGCAGTCCATATACATCCATGCTATACACAGCGTGCTGACCTCTCCAACCACTGTATTCTAATATTAGCCTAACTAGTCTTAGTAGCTTGATAATAACATAGAACAGTTGATTCTCCACAACTGACAGCATTTCATTTAACAAATCAAACTCAGGGAGGAGGAGCCGTTCACAGACAGTCCGTTGTCATGTGTTTGTGTGTGTGTGAGAGAGAAATAGAACGGGGCATGGAGGGACTGTGCGAATACATGTGCTACGCACAGCACGTATTTTATTTAAATCGATATGTAGCGGTCAGTGTGGCAGCCCGCCGCAAATAAATGAATGTATGGAAAACACTGAATATAAACTATACTTCTTTTCAGTATATTTATTTATAATGAACCTAGTAAGACTTTATTTTTCAAGCCCTTAATTGTGTCCTGAGGTGTGTAACATTCATGTCATAACTGAAATCCTGTACTCTGTTTTTCTTTACTTTTGTACTGATTCACATCATGTACTCTCAGAGGGAGTTTGTATATTTTCAGAACTTAACATTTACTGGCACAGCTTGGATGATTAACAGCATTATCTCTCCCTAATTATGCCATCTGAGTTCATGAAATGCTCCAAACTGAAGGTGTTCCACTGAGTTATTATATTTCACTGATTTCTGTGATGCCCCCACCACCCAGAACAGTAAGCCTTGAGGCCTACTTGATCATGTTGTGATTAATATCTGCCAGTTTGATGTTACTATCTTGAACCAACTGGGTCCTGTATTCTTGTTCCTGTAGCTAATCTTTACTAATATAATAATTACACCTCTATTCATGAACTAGAGCATTCATTTATTGGACAATTAATTTAACATGATTAAAATGTATTAGCTTCTTCCTTTCATCAAGCATCGCACAAGCTTCTGCATGCGCTTGAATTCACTAAGAGAGAGTGCACCTGCTCCATGGCCATGGGCAAACAGGCTGCTACATCAACTGCTCCATAGGCAGCAAGAGC